ACTGGGCAACTTGGCAAGACCTCATCTCTACAATAAATCAAAATGAGCCGGGCATGGTAGCACACGCCTGTAGTTCCAGGTACTTGGAAGGCTGAGGCGGAAGGATCGCCGGAGCCCAGCAGGTTGAGGCTGCGGTGGCCGGGAGCGGCCACTGCACTCCAGTCTGGGAGATAGAGTGAGACTCCAACTCAAAAAAAAAAGAACCATTTACTCAGAAGACAACTAAGCAGACATCTACAACCCTCTGTGATCATTGCCACAAGATATCAAAGAGGGGCATCTGGTTCAGGCCTGCAAGATAGGGGTGATGACCAGATGGGAAGCATCAAGCAGTAGTCCAGCTAAGAAGGTAGGTAGGGGGAGCAGGAAATGGTGTTCAAGTAGAGGGAACAGCACAAAGCAAAGTCAGAGAGGTTTAGAGTTGGGGCTTATAGAGTGACAAGCAGCTGAGACTGGCTAGAGCTCAGAATAAGATGGAACATGAAGTAGGAGAGATGAGGAAAGAGACAGACAAGGGTCAGAGCCCAAAAGGGCTTGAACGTGAGCTAAGGAATGTTCGTTTTAGTCTAAGGGGAATGAAGAGCCACTGATTTTCTCTCTTTTTTTAAATATGCATTTTATTTTAAAGACACTGATTTTCTTTTTTTTTTTGAGTTGGAGTTTCACTCCGTCACCCAGACTGAAGTACAGTGGCCACTCCCAGCCACCGCAGCCTCTACCCACTGGGCTCTGGTGATCTTTCCACCTCAGCCTTCCGAGTAGCCGGAATTACAGGCGCACGCTACCACGCCCGGCTGATATTTGATTTATTGTAGAGATGAGGTCTCGCTGCCCAGGCGGGTCTCAAACCCGCAGGCTCAGGCAATCCACTCACCTCAGCCTCCCAAAGGCGCAAGTTTACAGGTTGAGCCACCGAGCCCGGCTAGGACACTGATTTTCAAGCAGGATTTCTTTTAAGGATTCCTCAACTGCTTGGTTGATATTTTCTCTCTGGAATATTTGTTCTTCTCTGTGTGAAGAGATAAAAAACAGAAAAATCAATAATTTTTAGGCAAAAAGACCTGTTCAGAAAAAGTGTTCAAGAAACAAATGCCCCCTTAACCTTCAGAAATACACCTAAGTGCAGAACACATATCCAAGCCACATTTGTTACCCTCAGCATGTCAGGCTTTGATGCTAGACATGGAGGGGAAGAGAAGCACTGGGAAGTAGGTAGTCATGTGACAGTTTCAGAGGATGACTAGAAAAAGATGAAAGTTCAAGTCCAAAGCCAGTAGGAACAACAGACCGAACTTGTTCTGAACCACTTTTCGGAAGTGAAACAAGAAGGGTGGAAGAAGTCTCGAGTACATCAAGTACATCAAAGCCTCTGTTTGCAGAAGGAAGTAACACCCCACAAGCCTTCCTCAGGCAAAGGCCTTCAACAGGCATTGACCGACCCTAAGGTCTAGGCAACCACATTGACAAGCTCTGCAAAAATTTCCTCATCTAACCCCCACACCAACCATGAGGATGGTCAATATCACTTTAGAGCTGAGGTAAAGGAGGATGGCCTAGGTAAATCGTTTGGGTCACATTAACAGGAAGCTGTCGAGCTAGGGTCGGAAGACAGGGCTGACTGACGGGCAGTCAAGCAGTACTCCATCATACCTTGAAGTCCTTCAAGCAGCTCAGGGGGAAGACTCTGCCCCACCTACACTCAACAGATGATCTCCACATAACTTCTGAAGGATCCGATTCTTTGAGAAGCTGTTCCTTATGACAGTTTCTAAGAGGTTGGAGGAGCCTGGTGAGCTCAACTCAGGACAGGGAACCACATGCTCTGAGCTCTGCTCATATTCCTACCCTCTGTGACAAGTTGCTTCATCTCAAATCCTCCCTTGGAAGGACAGGGATAAGGTGACGACATTAAGTTTCTGTGAATTCAGTGGAACTAGGAAAACAGAGCATAGAATTTAGACAAAAGGTACTACAGTAATATTTATACCACAGCATTCTTCAAAAGCATATGAAAACATTCACAGGTTCAAGCCGAACTCGGTGGCTCAGCCTGTAATCCCATGCTTTGGGAGGCCGAGGTGAGTGGATGGCCTGAGCCCGCGGGTTCGACACCCACCTGGGCAACTTGGCGAGACCTCATCTCTACAATAAATTTTTAAAAATCAGCCGGGCATGGTAGCGCATGCCTGTAATTCCGGCTACTTGGAAGGCTGAGGCGGAAGGATCGCCAGAGCCCAGCAGGTCGAGGCTGTGGTGGCTGGGAGCGGCCACTGCACTCCAGTCTGGGTGACAGAGTGAGACTCCAACTCAAAAAAAAAAAAAGAAAACATTCACAGGTTCATTAAGACTCACAGCACTCAGGAATGGGTAAGAAGACAGCAGGTCTTTCTCACACTGTTGTCAGGGAAACTGAGACAGAATTGGAGCAAGTGAATGTCTGCAAAGGAATAAGGCTTAGACTCAGAGCCTAGCCCTCCAGCCACCAAACCATGTCCCAGGCAAGAAGCCATGGGTGCTGCACATTTCTCAGAAAAGCAAAGTCCCTTCCCTTGGGTACGTTCTTCCAGACCTAAAGTCAAAAGATCTCCTAAGGGTCATGTGGCTTCTTTCTCTTTACACCAAAAGGAATGCAGTTTGGACACTCAGGAGAGATTCTGGATATTCTTCAAATAGCTTCAGGGATAGCCTGTTTTGTTTCTCACAATTCCCAACAGTGAGGAAAATCTTAATCTCTTGCCCTGAAAGGTAAATCAAAGCAACAGCCTGCAGCATTGTTTCACCCTAAAGAAAGTGAATCAGATGCCCTTTATGAAGATCAGACAAAAAACTATAAGACCACACCTTGACTTATATCCAAAAAAAACCGACAGCAGCTAAAAATATTAAATAGTTCCTACATCCCAGCCCTGCTCCAGCCTCTCCTCTGTCTCTGTCCTTCGCAGGTCGCTGATAGCCTGGGTAGAAATCCTGGTCCTGCCTCTAATTACCCGATTAACTTTACACGTGTGATGTAACCTCTCTGGGCCTCAGTGTCCTTCTCAATAAAATGGGGCAACGACAGTAGCTACCTTATACAAGCGCTACTGTGAAGTTTAAATGTGACATTGTAAGTAAAGTGCCTGGTACACATTAGGGGCTCAATAACCAGTAGCAAGAAACTTCTCAGTATTTTCTAGCGTTATTACAGGTGTCTCTATTCAACTTATGCCTGAGGCTCCGACAGACAGACCAAGTCCAAGTCTACTCGGGAGCAGGCGGCACAGGGCCGTTTCTTGATTTTTTTTTTTTTTTTTTTTTTTGAACCTTGGCAAAGAGATACGGCCCTGAACAACGAGGCGGCCATGGGGGTGAGTGTCAAGGGGAAAACCGGAGCCTGGGAGAGTTTTCCCTCGGCCAGGGACGGGCTCCTCTGGGCCTAAGTCTGGGAGTCTCTCTGGGCGGGAGCCCCAGGAGGGACTGTGGGGCCGGGGCGGCCGGCGGCCAGGTGGGCGCGAATGAATGAACCCGCAGCCCTTCCGTCTGGTGGAGTCGGGAGACGTCGCTCGCGCCTCTCCAGAGCCGCGTCCTCTTCATGACCTCTGACCCCGCAAATCCCTTACCTCGGACCCCCGACTCCCCGCCCCACTTCTTCTCCTGCCTCGCCGAGCTCCCGCTTCCTCACCCGCAGTCCGACGGCTCCCGACGTCACGGCTCTGTTCGATTTGGTAGCAAAATGTCCCCGGCCTCTTCCTCCCGCTCTCCCCGTGCGTCCGTGCTGCCGGCAGCTCGGAGCCCAGCGGCTGTCACCTGCCGGGCGGAAGTGAGCTGCCTTCGCGCAGGCACTTCCGGTGGACGCACGGACTGGGGCGGGGTCAAGGGTACACCCCGGGCGGTGGAGGCCACAGTGGGGCGGGGCAAGGAAAGAGGCGGAGCCGACCGTTATTAACCCCTCCGCAGCCTCAGCTGCTCCGCTGCTGTCCTCCGCAGAAAGTTTAGAAAAGCTAACTACTAGGTAATTTAGCGATGGAGACGAAAAAGGACGTAGAGACTTTGAAAGACTTTCCTTTTACGTTGCAGACGGGAAAACTGAGGCTCCGAGAGGGGCAGAATTTTGCTCAGGGTCACACGGGGTTTTTTATTTGTTTTTGAGTTGGGGTCTCATTCTGTCATCCAGGCTGGAGTGCAGTGTCACGATCACAGCTCACCACAGCCTCAATCTCCTAGGATCAGGCGATTCTTACGCCTCAGCCTCCCCAGTTGCTGGACTACAGGCGCATGCCACCACGCCTGGCTAACTTTTTAATTTTTTTGTAGAGACGAGGTCTCTTTGTTGTCCAGGGTGGTATCGAACTCCTGGGTGCAAGCAATCCTCCCGCCTCGGCCTCCCAAAGTGTTGGAATTACAGGCATGAGCCACCGCACTTGGCCTGTTTTTTGCTTTTGTTTTTGGTTTAGAGGCAGAGTCTCACTCTTGCTCAGGCTGGAGTGCAGTGGTGCAATTATAGCTCACTGCAGCCTCTAACTCCTGGGCTAAAGCGATCCTCCCACTTTAGCCTCTTGAGTAGCTGGGATTACTCAACCATGGTGATCTGCTCAAGGTCATACACCTTATGAATGGAAGAGTCAAAAACCACAGCTATAATCCTGGTCAAATGCTAGTCTGCTAGTCTGAAGTTAGACTCTTCAATGCAGTCTTCTAGAAATTCTGTGCTCTAGGGGAAAACATCAGACCCTTCAAGAAAATTTTATCTAAAGCGAACTTCATGTCCAATTTTCCACTTTGCTGGTTCTGCCGACATTCAATGGCTATAGCCATCTCACTCCCAACTCTTGGTACTTGACTTCTGATTTCCCCTTTAAAGCATTATATAATCTCTATTCAAAGGTGTTTTACTGAACAAATAATATTTGTATTGTAGATAAGTGGATATATACTAGTAAGCAAAAAGATTAAAAGTAATCTGCAATTCCACTGCCCTGAGACAATCACTTTTATTTTTTTTAATGGCACATGCCTGTAGTTCCAGCTACTTGGAAAGCTGGAAACAATCACTTTTAATATTCTGGTGACTATCTTGCCAGATTTGATGTATCATTTGGTATTTTTGTCTCCCCAAGATATCAGTAAAACTTTCCCAGAATAGTAAATACATTTCCATTTGGTGCATAGTATTCTGTTGAATGAATGGTGTTGTTAGTCTCAAAAACAATCCCCTAAGGTTGTACACTCAGGTTGTTATCAATTCTTTTTATTTTATTTTATTTATTTTTATTTTTATTTTTATTTATTTTATTTTTATTTTTGAATTGGAGTCTCACTCTGTCGCCCAGACTGGAGTGCAGTGGCCGCTCCTGGCCACCGCAGCCTCGACCTGCTGGGCTCCGGCGATCCTTCCGCCTCAGCCTTCCAAGTAGCCGAAATTACAAGCATGCGCTACTATGCCCGGCTGATTTTTTGATTTATTGTAGAGATGAGGTCTCGCCGCACAGGCAGGTCTCAAACCCGCGGGCTCAGGCAATCCACTCACCTCAGCCTCCCAAAGGCGCGGGATTACAAGCTGAGCCACCGAGCCCGGCAATTCTTTTTATTTTTTATTTTTTATGTTTTTGAGTTAGAGTCTCACTCTCGCTCAGACTGGAGTGCAGTGGCCGCTCCCGACCACCGCAGCCTCGACCTGCTGGGCTCCGGCGATCCTTCTGCCTCAGCCTTCCAAGTAGCTGGAACTACAAGCGCATGCTACCATGCCCGGCTAGTTTTTGATTTATTGTAGAGATGAGGTCTCACCAAGTTGCCCAGGTGGGTCTTGAACCCGTGGGCTCAGGCAATCCACTTACCTCAGCCTCCCAAAGCGCGGGATTACAGGCTGAGCCACCAATTCTTTTAATATTATAAAAACATTAATAAGCTTGTACAGTCAAGTCTGTATGTCCTATCTAATCTATATATCATTGTTTTAATATTTAATATAATTTTATATGTTTAATCAGCTTTATATTTTTATTTTGAAATATAATCATAGATTTACAGGCAATTACAAAAGTAGTACAAATATAGAGCCCCATGTACCCTTTACCCAGTTTCCCTCAATGGTGACATTTTAGATATCTATAGTATAATATCAAAGCCAGGAAGTTGGCATTGGTAAAATACTGTTATCTAAATTACCAACTTTATTCCGTTTTAAAATCCTTTTTTGAAGTAGGCAGGGAATAAATAGAATACTTTTGGGGGGGAGGGGCCTCCACAACAGAAATTTATTTTCTCACAGTTCTGGAGGCTGGAAGTCTAAGATCAAGGTGCTGGCAGGGTTGTTTTCCTCTGAGGCCTCTGTCCTTGAGTTACACATAGCTGACTTCCAATTATGTCCTCACATGATCTTTCCTCTGTGGACCTAGAATACTTTTATATGTACGTGCCATGCTCCACATGCTATGCTCGACTTTCTGGAGGCGCTACCTTTCCCTGATGATAAATGTTGGTAAATGCCATCAACATTGCTGGAAAACAAAATTTCACTGGGAATGTAACATGGGAAGAGAAAAATTAGCTAACAAACCTAAAGGTACCAAGCTGGAGAGCCTATGTGCAAGTGGCGAGGGAATGGCAGAAGCAGTCAGAGCTTTATGATTGCAAGGAGACAGAGGTCACAGCAGCGGGCTGCTCAGGAAAGGCTTCTGAGGAGGATGGCATCTTCCCTACGTCTTGCTGAATGAGAACACGGGAACATGGTTGCACAGGCTGAGAGAGACAGTGCAGAGACAGGAAGTCCTCACAGGACCTCTGTGCAAGGGAGTGAGATGTTGGAGTCCTTCAGAAAGCATTTCCCAAGCCCCTACTCTGAGCCAGACCCTGGGCTGGATACGGGATAGTCAGATGGGTGAGGAAAAGGCCCTGCCTGTGCTGAACCTACAGGTGGTCCAGGGAGATGGATGGTGACGGAGCAGCAGACACTAGTGTGACTGGTACTGTGACAGGGGACACACTAGGGGCCATGGAGCAAGAACTGAAGTTCCCTTGGGTTGGAGGAACCAAGGAGCAGGTGTTTAGTCTGAAACTGCAGACCAGCAGTGAACGTCTATGGAATACCTAGGGTGTTCTGGGGGGCTCACAGAGATTCCACTTGCTCCTTACCTCAGCACAAGAGGAAGGGGCTATCTTAGATAATTTCATCTCAGGGGACCGACCTCCCTGAGAGCCTAAGTCAAACAGCATGTGAGTGGCAGAGCTGAGGGCCTGGACCCAGAGACCCAGCTCTCACTAGTCCTGCTCATTCACCTAAATTATATTTGTCACTGAGACAGTCATATTGGGGGTATGACAGTGAACAAGACATGGCACAATCCCTCCTTGGGGCTCACTGTTGAGTATGGGAGAAAGACAAATAAAGTGGCAGCAGCTGGGCTCAGTGGCTCAGCCTATAATCCCGTGCTTTGGGAGGCTGGGGTGAGTGGACTGCCTGAGCCCGCGGGTTCGAGACCCACCTGGGCAACTTGGCGAGACCTCATCTCTACAATAAATCAAAAAATTAGCCAGGTGTGGTAGCACGTACCTGTAGTTCCAGCTACTTGGAAGGCTGAGGCGGAAGGACCGCCGGAGCCCAGCAGGTTGAGGCTGTGGTGATTGGGAGCGGCTCCTGCACTTCAGTCTGGGCAACAGGGTGAGACTCCAACTAAAAAATAAATAAATAAATAAATAAAGTGACAGCTATAACTGTGAGTGATCAGAAGGGCCTGTGATGCACAGGAGACTCACGGACCAAACTCATCCTGGAGAAGTCAGGGAAGTCTTCCAGAGGAAGTAACATCCAGCCTTAACTATGAAGGATGAGGATACTACTGTTAGTTACCATGAACCAGGCACTGTGTGAGGCTCTTCTACATATTAACTTACTGAACTCTCCCAGCAATTCAAGGTCCTATGACTGTCCCCAAGTTGAAATAAGAAAAAGGCCACTTGGAAGGCTAAGGTGGAAGGATTGCCGGAGCCCAGCAGGTTGAGGCTGCAGTGGCTGGGAGCGGCCACTGCACTCGTCTGGGTGACAGAGTGAGACTCCAACTCAAAAAGAAAAAGAAAAAGGCCAGAGCTGATTTCTACCCTACTTCCCCATGGGCCTGGGCCTCTTTTCCCACAGCTCAACCTGGCGGGAGACCTAAAAACATAATACTAATAAGCAGAGGTGGCCGGGTGTGGTGGCTCAGCCTGTAATCCCAGCACTTTGGGAGGCAGAGGCGAAAGGATTGCCTGAGCCTGGGGGTTGGAAACCAGCCTGACCAACCTGGTGAGACCTTGTCTCCACAATAAATCACAAAAAATAGCCGGGTGTGGTGGCGTGTGACTATTGTTCCAGCTACTTGGAAGGCTGAGGTGGAAGGATTGCCTGAGCCCAGTAGGTTGAGGCTGCGGTGGCTGTGAGTGTGCCCCTGCACTCTAGCCTGGGCGACAAGAGTGAGACTCCAACTCAAAAAAAAAAAGAAAAGAAGAAGAGGTATAGCTCAGGCCAAAGCCTGAATAACTACTGGTTTGCAGAGATGGAAGGCAGAAGTGGGGAAAAGGGCCTTTAAGGGACATCCTTCTCTCCCTCTCCGCCCTCATCACCAAACCTAGCTGGCCCAAATCCACGCTAACCAACCAGCACTGGCAGCAGCAGCTGGAATGGAATGTGTGGCCCTCTGAGACCCAGACCCAGGAAATGCTCCTTGCTCCAGGATGGGCAGAGCAGAGCCAATGCTGGCCAAGCTGGCCTGGAGAAAGAGGACTCACTTCCTCCAATAAATGCACCCTTACTAACACTAACATCACCTCCTGGTTAGAAGACATTTTTAAACTTTCTTCCAAGCCCTACTCGTTTTTTCTTTTTTTGAGTCAGGGTCTCTGTCACCCAGGCTGGAGTGCAGTGGTACAATCACAGCTCATTGCAGCCTTGACCTCCTGGTCAGATTATCCTTCCACCTCAGCCTCCCCAGTAGCTGGGACTTCAGGCAC